CTGCAACGATGCGCCTTAGCTTCCGCCAGGACACGCGCCCTTCTGTCCCTCCGCCACCCCGCCGATCTTCGTCCCAAGGAACGATCCTCGATTCGATCGTTAAAATCATTCACCGTTCATCTGTACATCCATCGAGGGACAGGATCCCTCTTCCTAAAATATATATATATACATTTTTCCATTCAAATCTATTCCTCCAAACGTCCACCCTTAAAGTTTTTCACGCTAATCGGCGACGAGAATTTATCATCGATTCATACGTCGACGCGCGCGTTACTCTTTTCCACAGGCGCGAGTGTCAAACAGGAATCCGCCAACTGCAGAAGAATCAACGATACTAATTATTCGCAGTATCAGTCGGTGAACCATACGCAAAGTACCACCTTCCTCGACCTCGATCCTGAGAATCGCAATAATTGCTTTGGGTAAGCGGATATTAGTTCGAAATTTCCACGAATTAAGTATAAATATAATTATAAACGCAGCACGTGTTGCTCGTACGTTGTCGTTAAAACAGAAACAGCAAGATGAATTCACGGACGAGCGAAACCACGAAGAATGTAGCGGTGAAGGAGGAACCAGCGGACAGGGGATATGGGGAGCCGATATCCGTGACGAATATCCCCACATCGACGGCCCAGGACACTCGAAACGGTAAGGAATCACTGATTTACCAAATGAATGAAATTAATAGCGGTGAAGCGAAGAAAGAGAGGACACGATTCGACGGATAATGCTCTCCTAGAGCGCTCTTAGTGGCTCCTATCGGCACAACCGAGATTCCCGAATCGACGATACCCTCCTCTCGAACGTGCACCGTGACAAATCTCTCGACAATAGATCCACGTGGCGCTTTGCTACCCCATATATCCCATAAATAACTGGAGCACGGGGGGAAATACTCCATGTTCCATCCATTAATCGAGCTCTAGCTCTACTCCTTCTTCCGGCCTCTGTCTTCGCAACGCTTTCCACCGAATCTATATTCGATGAATCGAATTTTGCGTTTTAATCGCCGTCAACGATATCCATCCACGCGTTCTTCGTTCCATTCCCGACACGAGGCCGAGAGAGATAGTTTTTGGACGAGGCGCGGATTTAATAACGTTTTCAGCGACGTTTCAACGCGGAGACTCGTTGATAATCCTTGGTGTAAGTTCGTCGTTGTTGCTACACTGGACTCGCCCACGCGTGACTAAGTACACGTAAGTGAATAATTGAAGAATGCTTTCAACTCGAGAGCAACCGAGAAGCGCTTCGTAAAATCCAACGAAAGCTGCTAAACGAAGGAAAGAGCGTAGAATTCTCTCCCTCCCCGGGGACGTTGCAAGTCGTAAAAATCTTTCTCTCGCGAGAGGAGGAAGGAGGAGGATTCCGCTCTCGTTCGAGGGAAGAATTTTTTTACCGTCGTTGTTGAATTTGATGAGATCGAAGAGCGTGGTGAGGGAAGGCCACGCACTCCATTTACCTAATAGATAGTTTTCGCGCGATCTATTCGTAAAAGGTAGGACGAAGCAGGCATTTGCAACCTCATGCTTTGTAATCAGACCGATTAGTCTTCCTTTATTCACGCACGTACACCGAACGAATCCTTTAGGAACTCGGTTGCTATATTCGCTGCCCGACACCGTGCTCGTCTACTCCCATTTACTTCCAAGTCACCCGGGAATTACGCTTCTACTTCTCTTCGCATAATTCTCCCTCCCATTAAGCCGTTTCAATTATTTACACGCAGTTTAGATTAATAATAGGATCATCTAACCTATAGTTATCGATACCCCGGCCCCGATTCGACGCATTTCCCATAGATGGAAACATTCCCTACGATTCTTCTCTCTGATTAAATTCACGAACGAAAGAAAGTATCGTCGTTCCAGAGGACGATCATTGACGACGAAATCATCGATGATCGCTCGCGCGCATTGTCCAGGGAGCACACGTTAAACGTTACCGTCTCCCATTCCCGCTAAATCGACCTGTCGTTGACCAATGTAGCGGGTGGAATAGTAATAACCTGTTAATGGGTGAGGGAGATTGGTCACCATCTCGCTAATTAATACCGACACGAGGATCACGAGGATTACAATCGGCCCCAAGTTTCGTCGACCGTAGCCGACCGAGTAAACTTTCCTCCCGTTTACGATCCTTAAAATTAATAATCTCAATCGCGTGTATAAATGTATGTATGTATGTATATATATATAATAAGCGAGAATGAATTAGTTGTTGTCGCGAATCGATTCGTTCTCGCGCAAAACATTCCTTCGTGAATGGGCAGAAAGAGAAGAAGGGCATTTCGGCGCGTCAGGTGGGTGGAAAATGGACCTTGCATTATTAACCAGCCTCTACTCCGGAATTCGGGGATCAGGGAGACAGAGATAGCAGGATAAAGACAGGGGCGGAGGAGAAAATGAGAAGAGGAGGGTCGTACGAAGGAGATAGATAGAGAGAGAGAGAGAGAGAGAGAGAGATGGATAGACAGATGGAGAGAAAGAGAAGAAAGAGCCAAAGCTTCTCGTCTGAGAGTGGACGAGTGGAGGCCGTCCTCTTTTCCGTGCAACCCTTCTGCGCACCGCCCCTGACCAGCCTGGTTCGCCAACCCTTTTCCTGCTTGCTACATCGCCACCGGTTTCATCAGCTCGCGATTAATTTTAATCTAAAACTACCCGCAAAGCCTCTGGCCCCGCTTGCACGCCGAGCTCGAGCCCCTTTCGCCCCTCTTCAGATTGGCCCGCAGCTTTCAACCCCTCTCCTTCGCCCCGCGATTCCTGCCTGTCTCTCGTCTCGTCGCGAGATCGCGATTTGACCGACGACGTTGCACTCGTTGACTAAAAACCTAAGACTAACTTCACGCGACACGATTAACTTTCTCGACCATTCTTCCGTTCCCCTTTAATTCCAATGATTAAAGATTTGCCATTAATACCGAATACGTGTACACACAGTTGAGGTTTCAGTTTTTTTTTTTTTTTTTTTTTAACCATAATCTTTGGAATAATCGTGGTCTGTTCCCTTTTCCACGGAACGAAGCACGATTTTTAATCGACGAGCAAAAAGATGACGATGCATGACGGGGTGGCAAGCGCCGCGTTCCGGGGGCTCGGTATCGGGAAGAGGGCTCTCAATTTTTCAATATTCCCCGTACACGACTTGGAGCGTAACCGGATTACGGTTCGAGAATAGCTTTTTCGGCTCGAGGGACCACGGGATCGGTGGGATGCCGGCGGTGGCGGGCTCTCCCTGCGAGGAGAGCACCCGATTAATATACATATCGCGCGAGCTACGCGCGGTATTTCAGGCGGTGCAGCTATCCGCGAGCTCCGCAATGCTCCGGCAACCCCGTGGGCTTTGAATATCAACCAATTTCCTGCCGATATTTGTGTGACGAGCACTTCACCGGCGACCGCGCGTGAGTGCAATCGCTAATACGTCGCTCGAGTTTCCTTCTTTTTCGCGCCTCCTCCTGTCTTCGCTCTCGTCCATTTCGTTCTCATTCCCTTTCGCTCTTCTTCCTCCCTCTATCTCCCTCTTCCTCCTATCCTCTTCGGCCAAACACAAAAGTCAGACTTGTTATTTTCGAGAATTTTTAAACGATATTTAAATGATAAATAAATACGCGTAGGTAACAGCATGGTTTATCAGCCGCAACAGCAATACGGGAACGCCAGAGGTTCGCCATCGCCCAGTCGACCAGCAAGCACTTCGTCCGCCGCTTCCCAATGGCAATCGGCGGTTCCGGCTTCGGGTGAAGCTTTCTTCCCGCGACAAGAGAATTGGAGCTCGGACGTATACGGCAAGAGAAGCGTGACTCCCACGTGGACCGAGCTAGGAGTTCAGTTGGACAGTAGGAATCCGTCGTGGGAGAGACAGAGTAACTGTTACCAGAAGAAAGGCTCTCCTACCTCGTGGAACGCGGATTACGCCGGCAAGAGACCATCCTCGACGACAGGAGTGTCACCTTGGAGCGAGATGTCGGTTGGATATCAGCAACAACGTCGAGGTTCTCTGCAGTTGTGGCAATTTTTGGTCACCTTGCTGGACGATCCAGCGAACGCGCCTTGCATCGCGTGGACCGGTCGTGGGATGGAGTTCAAGCTCATCGAACCGGAAGAGGTATATATGAGATCGCAACGATGAATATATTCTCTGAAATGTTAATAACGATAAAGCGATATTTTTTTCTTTCTTTCTTTCTTTTATTCCATTCAGGTGGCTCGTAGATGGGGTGTTCAAAAGAATCGACCGGCGATGAATTATGACAAATTGAGCAGGTCGTTGAGGTATTACTACGAGAAAGGGATAATGCAGAAGGTAGCGGGAGAAAGATACGTGTACAAATTCGTCTGTGATCCGGAAGCGCTTTTCAACATGGCGTACGGATCTGCGGGATCGTCCGGGCTTCCCAGTGAAGTACAAAATGGTGTTCGAAGTCAATCGATATCCGGGAAAATATCGTCGTCGAACGATGTGTCCGATATATCGAAACATCCTACCGCTGGTTACGGTGATGCGGTCCTTGCTATGTACTCGAACACGGCGGCAGGTCAGTAACTAATATTACAAGAGTATTTTGCTTCTAACACTTGTTCAAATTACAAAGAAAGATTAATAATTCAATTTTCAAACGAACATAGTGTACGGGCCATCGAGTTTGCATCATCTGCACCAATATCTCGGTGGAAACGAGGGTTTCAAAACACCATCGAATAGATATCATTCTCATTATTCGCACGAGTACAACAGCACCCATCATCATCCGCCATCGAGTTACGCAGAGACCTTCCTGAACTACGGTCGTTTGTCGTCCCACGACGCCCCGACCGAATCGAGGAGCCAAGAACTGGCGAGGATCCCGTACGCGCAGGAAACATCAGAAGGTATCAGCAGAGAACGAGAGACGTCATCGATTTTATACGATGGTGTGCAGAGATCGCAATTACCGGCCGCCTCTACGCTCTCGCAGCCAACCTTGCTAGACGCTACCACCACCAGTTCCAAGATCGAGCAAACTTCTTACGCCTGCCTCGGTGTGGGTAGCTGCGTCTGCTGAATCTCTTTCCACGTTACCGAAAGACGGAAAGTCGCCGCCTTTTCGACTTTTCGACTAAATAATCTAGTCATAGATCGCCCCGTACTCCCCGTACGCGTTCTACATTTGTATAGGTGGCTTGTGTATAACGCGTGCAGGTGTTAAATGGAACGCGTAATTTGAATTTTCGACGAGGCATGCGTTTATCCATGATCGCACTATGGCTCTAATTTACAAGAAAATTAGAAGCAATCCGCGCACACAGAGTAAATTTAAATCCTTGAAAGCGTCGAACGTTGTTGAGCGATCATCGATAATTGTAACGATCCAGAATCTCGAATTGCGGGTGCCATGAATCTTGTAAATAGAGAAATTTGAAGGCGTTACAAATCGTTAAAAATCGAGTAATCCCCCTCTCCCCTCCCCCTCCGCCCTGTAGGGAGATCCAATCGCTTGTGATCGTTGTTACATGCCCGTGTCCGAGTAGTTCATCAGGATACTGTGTAACTTCTGTAAATATCGAATAAATCTATTGAAACAATCTGAACGGAGAGAATATTCTTAAACAGCGTCATTACCAAGTTTATCTTCCTATGTCATCATCGGGTGAAATGCTGCAAGAATTATCGCTAGAAGAATGTTCGAGAATTTTCATCGTATCGAAACTGTACATAAAGATTGCGAATTAATATAAGCGATTATGCGAGTATGACTTAATGACTTAATAGCACAGAGAAGAATGATACTTGAATGTGTGTTCGTCGATACATTTTCAATCAGCTTTCCATGTTGATCCTTTTCGCAAATGTATTAGCGGTTAGTGACGTAAGCCCAAGACCATGGACTGAGGTCGAATGCGTATTTCGGGCTGTGACACATAGTAGATATGTTTATGTCGACCCCTCTCTTTTCCGCCGACTCCCAACTCGCCCATCCTTTTTCCACCACGAGCAAATGTATCATTGGTGAACATCAGGCCGAGCCGGCTCCCGGTAAACCTGCCTAACCGCTGTCAGTCATACAATCACGGAAGAATCGAAAAGTGTATCCAGCCTCTTGAAATCGTTACACCTGTCAATTGAAAACAATATATCTGTGATTTAATCAAATCGATCATATTATCGTAGCAAACGGGAACTTGCAAATTGGTGAGTATTTGTCAAAGTTTCTTCTCCTTGTTTCG